AGTGCCATTCACATCGCCACCGTGCCCAAGGCCCTTAATGCCAGTTGTTCCAGGGACGCCGGCTGTGTTCAACTCTGGGCAAGAGCATCTGCTAAGCAAATTAAGGTAAATGTATAATGTACTGATAAGTCTCCTGGCATGCTGAACAAAAGAAATAAAAACACAATACTGTTGTTTCTATTTCATCTAAACAGGCAAACAGCCACGTTTATAACCCAGAGGAAACTCAAGTCTGATAAGTAGCTAACAGTAAAAACAAGAATGACTTCCAGCGCATCATTTATTCAGAGGGCATTATGGGAAAAGCCGCACTATGGTCTCTGCGTGGTTGGTGGTTCAGGGTTAGACTGAAATAGCACAGAACAGGGTGCCACATTACTAATCCAGATAGAACAGTCTCTGAGTCTGAAGTGTAATAATCCCAGCAGAATACACTGTCCCTTAGGCACTGTGAGATCTATTCTGAGCAAGTCCAAAGATCTGAACTCTGTATACACACCACGTATCCATCCCTTGTACAGACACACACAGACACATTTGGACCAGTCACTTCTAAGACTGCTTTGAACCAGACGGTGTTGGAATACAGCAAGATTTCAGCTGCGATAAAAACATCCTACAGGGAAAAGGAGTCTAACTCTAAGTGGGGTACCTCAGAGGGATACACCGCGGTACGACAGAGGGGCTCTCCTGGGGTACCACAGAGGGGTACACTGAATGTTCGTAATTACCCAGAGCCAAGCTTTATGATGGCTGTTACGAGCTCCCTGCAGAGAGACACCCACCTCTCGTGAGCTAAACTCATTTACTGAGCTTTTATACAGCGGCTTCTGTGATTCAAACTGCTTGTAAACTTGGCCGGCCAGCTGGGAACAATGGACCAGTGTGGGAGGTTTACTGGGGACCGAGCGAGACACGCACACTGCTACTCGTGATACACACGGACAAGCAATATTATCACAGCATTCTGTTTTGCAGGATATTTTGTGTGTTGCGTACTCTTTAAATCTCGTTTGCAGATTGTGTCCTGTCTTCGCACCCTTGTGTTTGGGGCACTACATGCATTTTTGTCTGTGCACTATATGCTGTACATTGCTGTATGCACCAGAATCTCCCCCCAGGATCAATAACGTCCATCTTAATCTTAGTTCTGCACAGGATCACGCACAGCTTTCCCAGGAGATTAGCTTCTGCAGCCAAACCGCATGTTTCATACTGACAGAGACGGTGTCGTTAATGCCAGGAGCCACACAGCGCTAAGACTGTAAGCATTTTACCTTCTGATACTCAGCAGGAAGCGCAGCGGTTAAGACACTGACAGGAAGATGCTGGTAGCACTCCTTTCTAACCCGTACTCTACAGTGGTGGGCTCCAACCCCGGGTATGGGCTGGAAGGTGGGTATTCGTGAACGCAAAATAGTAACATAGTACATACTGATCGCCAATCATTCCCCACCGGGTACACAAGTTTGAATGTGTGAAATGTGCACAATGTGTTCCACTCCACGGTCATCAGAAGTTTATTATTTTTTATAAGCATGAATTGTATGGGGTAGGTGTGCCCTGCGATAGGTTGGTGCCCCATCCTGGGTTGTTCCCTGCCTTTCGTCTGTAGCCTCCAGGATAGGCTCGGGACCCCCTCGGACCCTGAATAGGACAAGCAGTTTCAGAAAATGTCTGCATGGATAGAAAGTGTTATTTCATGACAGGACAAGACGAAGCTCTATATCATATAACAAATTCATAATTAGGTAATACTTCCTTATGAGTCAGAGACAACCGACCTCAAACCCACTGATTGGCTGAATCATCACAAAACAGACCTTGTATGATTTATTAATTATTCAAGACTTATACTGCAAAGAACAGAACGGCTTTTCCGAGGTTCTCTCAATATTGCCAAATATAAACACAGGCGGTAACACAGCTTGGACACAGGAATTAGCCATAAGCAGGACCACCTCCCTTGTTCTGAGATCTGTTAGTCTGATCTGAGTGCAGCCAGAGCGCTCCTACGTCAGCATCCCCGTCCAAAGGCCCCGCCAGACTCGGCTGTAATTGCGTTTAAGCTCCTTTTACTGCAGCTCTTCTCGCAGCCGCTGCTTTACAGGGTTGTTTGTGCGAGTCGATGGGAAGCAGGTGTTGGCCAGGAAATGGGTCAGAAGATGCTGCAGCAGTCTGGGGGGGGGGGGGGGGGGTTGCGCAGGCCCACACACCCTGACTGCGAAAAGGCCGTGTGGGGTGTTTCGCCCAAGACAGACCTTTGGCCTTTCGGAAACGATGCAAACCTGTCCTGAGAAGCTTGGGGTATTTGCTGTATTTAAAAAAGGAGCCCTGATCTGTATTAAACAGGCCTGAGGCAAACGGACAAGGATCAGAGAAACCCAAAAAAGGGGAGGAAGCTGGTATAAGACAGTGCTGCAGTTTATCCCCAAGAAGCCACCAGTGACCCAAACCAGAAGTCTCTGTGCAAAGTCCCGCCAGTGTCCCAAACCAGAAGTCTCTGTGCAAAGTCACGCCAGTGTCCCAAACCAGAAGTCTCTGTGCAAAGTCACGCCAGTGTCCCAAACCAGAAGTCTCTGTGCAAAGTCACGCCAGTGTCCCAAACCAGATGTCTCTGTGCAAAGTCACACCAGTGACCCAAACCAGAAGTCTCTGTGCAAAGCCACATCAGTGTCCCAAACAAAATTCTCTGTGCAAAGCCACACCAGTGTCCCAAACCAGAATTCTCTGTGTAAAGTCACGCCAGTGACCCAAACCAGAAATCTCTGTGCAAAGTCCCGCCAGTGTCCCAAACCAGATGTCTCTGTGCAAAGTCACATCAGTGACCCAAACCAGAAGTCTCTGTGCAAAGTCACACCTNTGTCTCTGTGCAAAGTCACATCAGTGACCCAAACCAGAAGTCTCTGTGCAAAGTCACACCTATGTCCCAAACCAGAAGTCTCTGTGCAAAGTCACACCAGTGACCCAACAACAACAACAATAAATTTATTTTTGTATATCGCATTATCACAACATTACATCGTCTCAAAGCGCTTTACAGCATCCCCACCCAAAGCCCCCAGTGAGTAAGCCATAGGCGACAGTGGCAAGGAAAAACTCCCTAGAAGGAAGAAACCTTGGGAGGGACCAGACTCAAAGGGGGAGCCCATCCTCCAGGGGCCGGCAGGGAGAGTCAAATACAGCAAAATCTGAAACACAAACGGGGAGCAGGGGGGAGATGACAGCCGGTGCCAACGCTCCCTCCAATCGCCAGGCAGCCAGAAGGCAGGCAGCGGGTCATACAAGGAGGATGACACAGGCAGAACGGCGAGCTGGATGCACGGACGTCATTGGTAGAGGCGACGTCACATGTTGCAGGGTGTGCTGGACATCTTGATAGATTGAGGGCTCCAGGCAGCACCCCCCAGGAGGAGTAGGGGAAATAAAATATGCAATTAGTCAAAGTAAGGGAGACTATAGGCAGTGCTAAAAGTTAGATGAGTGCAATAAATGTGCAAACTCCGGCAGATATGGCTATGGCAGCATAAGTAGGAGGGAGAGGCAGGTGGGAATGCAGGCATGACCCAAACCAGAAGTCTCTGTGCAAAGTCACACCAGTGACCCAAACCAGAAGTCTCTGTGCAAAGTCACACCAGTGACCCAAACCAGAAGTCTCTGTGCAAAGTCACACCTGTGACCCAAACCAGAAGTCTCTGTGCAAAGTCACACCCACGTCCCAAACCATCCAAGGCACTAGAAGTGAAACTGAAGCCTGCAGCTCCCTGCTTTTTTAATCCCTAATTAAATTTTCACCAGGACCACAGCAGCAGAAATCTTTCCATACGAGTGCTTATAAAACAAATTCAATATATAAAATATTATCATCCCTGTTATAGATCTGGATGGATATTTTTGCCCAAATCACCACTGTACATGCCTGCACTGATGCTACCCCACAGTCTGGCCTTCCTGCCTGGTTTGCTTCTGTCCCGATTTATAACATAGACCTTGTCATCTCACACCTGGCTCTGAAATGCGGGAGAACCCCTGCGTCCCGTGTATGGACAGCTACGCCGAGCCGTGTCCCATTTGTATCACGCGTGTGGACCCTCTGGGTGTCCTCCTCACGTCGGTGACGGCTCCTGCTGTCCCCGAGCAGGCTGACTATGGCATGTGGCTTCTCTGTAACTGGCTGGCAATTCGCCCAGGGTGTGGTCCTCACTTCTGCTAACAGCACGGCCCCCTGCATGATAAGTAGTTTGGATAATGGATGAATGGACCTGCATCCAAATAAAACAGTGGAATCACAGCTGATATTCATAGGCACTGTGATCTGAGCTGATATCCATTCTGCCCTACAAAGGCAAAACACAGTAACTGCATATTTTATCAAAATTTATGAGTTATGACCAAAATCAGGTATCTTAGGCTCTGTTTTGTCTTGTGACAAAATGCCTTAGTTCAACTATGCTTGGTTTTGGAAAAAGAATTACATCTATCCATCTTTCAAAACTGTCACGGGGGGTCCGAAGTCTATCCCAGAGGCTACGGGCCCAAGGCAGGGAACAACCCAGGATGGGGTACCAACCCATCACAGGGCACAACATGTTTTTGGACTGGGGGGGGGGGGGAGAACCGGAGTACCCATTACAAACCCCACAATGATTCAGGAAGAACAGGCAAACTCCACAAACATGGGGCCATGGCAGAGATTCGAACCCTGGTCCCAGAGGCAACAGTGCTAACCACTGCACCACCGTGCCGCCCCTTGTGAGAGTTACAGTAACTGCAAAATCCCACATGAAAACCAAGGCAAAATCCCCTTTTTCTCAATTGAGTTACTGTGTCTTGCCTTTGTGAGGCAGCGTTGTTATTCTGAAATAAGACAGTGACATTAAGGTTAAGAGCGATATGTTTCCACCTTAAATACGCACCGTCTCACTCAATACATGCATCCCTCCAATTTCTAGCAGGAGGAGTAGGGGAGGGTTCGTGTAGCTAAATAAAAATTTCCACCGCAAGGTCTCGTCCTGCCTTTATTGACAGTAACATCACACAGGTCATTCTCCGCTTCTCAGTGATCCAACATAGTTTCTGGTGCTCAGATCAAACCAAACGACATACTGCTCGTTGTTCCTTAACACAGAACAGAACCCTGTACTAGTCGGGCCAACAGATCCATGAGCCAAAACCCTGCATATTGATCGTTAAATCGGTAGCCCGAACAGACTTCCCGGTCAACATTATGAAGATCTGTCCTTTTTTAAACGATCCTAAAACATAGTCACGGCCTTTGTTTGCTTCTTCCATCATGAGACTGGATTACGCTGTGAGGACAGGCAGCCAGAGCGACTGGGGACAGCGTGCATTCGGAAGACAAATAACTAGGGGGAACAATCGATAGCTATCAATACGTCTCTGTGCATGCCGGCAGCTAGCTGGCTAACGGAGATGCCGCACTCGATTCATAGCTAAAATACGGCACGAAAACTCTCCTGATCTGTCATACCGATGCTCTGTGGCAAGAACAGAAACGTTAAAGTCTCAGGTTCCTCGTGATGATTCATAAAATCCAGCAGACTTTCCGAAATGCCTCCAAATTCATCATTGCCGCCAGAGTCTCTTCTCTTTCCTCTGTGATGTGCTTAAAATGCAATCCCACTAATGGCAGAAACTCCAAACACAAAACCAGAGCGGTCTCCTGGAAAATGCCATGCGGTGACTGTACACTTTGCCCGCATGTCCACTTCCAAGGAGCACGCTTCATGCTGACTGTGGTTTGCACTCTTAAAAAGATCTCCAGAACATTTGTATATCCCACAGTAACGCTGCCATGGACCAGAACTGAGGGCCCTTCTGTCCATGATGGTGAGTAAGCCCTTCGGTGTTACGGTTCCCCCACAATTTGGCCACAGTATCACAAGCTGCCTTAAGACGCTTGCTCCAGCTTCTCCCCCGAGTCCTTAGCGTTCTCCAGTTTCTGGTACCTCCTGGTCATGCTGAGGTCCAGTCGCGGCCAGCTGCGGTGTTTCTGCTCCTCTGTCCCCCTAGGGTCGAGGGCAGCCGTGCTCAGGCACATGTCCGAGCTGAACTCCTTCCGGAATGGCTCGCCCGGGGTCATAGGAGCGTGTAGTGCTCCCATACGACTTGCCAGAGGCTGGTGCTCCCGGGGCTTAGTCCTGCAGCTGAGGCTGTAGGCACGGCGAGGCAACATGGGTGCCCCCCAGTCGTCATCCCTAGACATGCCCGGAGGGGCATCCACTGGGTAGTTATTGAGTTTAATGAGGGGTGGGGCCACGGCGCCAATGCTGGATACCGACTGGGGTGAGGCAGGGGCTGACCCCCCGGGGATGTTCACACTGATGACGCTGGAGTTGCAGGAGTCGGAGTGGATGGTGCGCAGCGATATGGGAGGTGAGGACGCGCCCTGGTGGTGCAGAGCCTCCGTCAGCAGGGTGGACGAGGGTCGCACTCCAGAGGCCCAGTGACTGCCCCCGGCCCCCACCTGTAGCAGCAAGGATTCTGAGTCGGCGAGGTCCTCCAAGCAACAGATGTTGAGCTCTGTGGCCGTCAAGCTGACGGGCCAGTGGGGGGGTAGGGGGAGGGGTCCATCCAGGGCAGGCAGGACACCATCGGCGGGGACAGCAGCTTTGATGGCGGCCTGGGCGAGTAGCAGCTGGGTCTCACGGTCGCGGTTCTCGTACAGCATGGTGTTGGCACAGATGAAGATGAAGAGGCCCACACCCATGACGATGGGGCCCAGCAGCTTCATGCGGTCGCTGTGCATCAGCCCGGCAGCCGACGGCAAGGACCGGGCCCCCGCGGCCCGCCCCTGCACCACCCGAGACCCGTTCACGGCCGTCTGGCCCTGCGTGCCGGCCCTATGAGCCCGGGGCCAGTAGCCTGCCACCGCAACCGCAGTGCCCACCAGCACCACCACCACGCCCAGGATGAGGAAGGCCCCCGGCATCGACTTTATCCGCAGGCGGCCCTGGATCGCGGCCTCACTCTTCTTCTTGGAGCAGAAGCCGAAGCGGGGTAGGCGCTGCCGGAAGGGTGAGAAGTGCGAGGCGAACCGAGAGCCTGGGTTCAGTCCGGGGAAGCCCGTCGCTGTCATGCCGGGAGAGGAGGCTGGAGGGAGGGAGACAAGGAGTCCACCGTGACTCGGAGCAGCCGCCTGGCATTCTAAAGAATCAGCCTTACACAGGCGAAGCATCTCACAACAATTACAATTTATTAATTTTGTACATGCTTTTATTCAAAGGAACGTACAACTGAAAGCTGGGTCAGACAGTTCCTGGAGCACAACCCAAACTACCTGCCAGGGGACATGGATCAGTGGGTTAGGCTTCTATGCTTTTGTCCAGAAGGTCGCTAGTGTGAGGCTCAGCAGAACAGTTACATCTCCATTGGGCCCTTAACCCATAAAATGCTTCATGGTCACCAGATAAATGGACGACCTTGTAACTGGAACTCAAGCTGCATTCTCAACTGTGTGTATTCCTGTTATTTTGACGTTGTGTGGACTATTTTTCAGGTCCCTGCAAAGATCTATGAATGCAATCATTTTGTTTGGTTTCTTGTGGGTAAGGTTAGGGCTGGGTAGGGGTTATGGTCGTCATATTGGGGTTAAAGTTTTCTCCATAGAAATGAATGGAGAGTCCCCACAAAGATATAATTACAAACCTATGTGGGTGTGCGTATCTCAAAGGAGAGCAAGATGGGATATGTGAAAGAAGCATTTTAATGTACCTGTGCAAACAGCAAATAAAGCATCGTTTCACTTGCTGAACCACACACCACCCCCCACGACGTGATTCCAAATATTATTTTGAAGTAACCTGGGATGGTCGCTTATCACGACAGCCTAAGAGTGCCCGTGTGTGTGTGTCGGTCCATGTCTCATCTCTGTCTGCAATCAGCATGCCCTGAAGCACTCTGCTGTTAAGCACACAGGCCGTCAAGGAGACTAATTGTCTCAGGAAAACACACAAAAACGGTCGTTTCCTTTCATGCCCGGGCACAGGAGAAACGCTAGCACATGTGCGGCCGCCCCCCGAAGGCACGGCTGTAAACAGGGCGCAGTGAAACGGAACGAGCTCCAAACACGCCACGCGAGCCAGGCCCATGCGGGGAGCACTGCGGAAAACGTGGCCATTCCGCACCGCCCGCCCGGCCGCCCCATGCTGCGGCTCTGCCGCATCCAGACGGACCACTGGGTCAGCGCCGCCAATGCGCCGCGGAGAACCCACACCCATGAAGGCAAGTCTCTGGTGCGGAAGTCAATTAAACGCCTCACCGTCACTGAGAAAGATTTCAAACTACCTGCCATATTTAAAGCAAAGGAAGCTTTTGTTTTTGGTTTTTTTTAGCATAAAAGCAACGATTCCCAGCAGAAACACAAAGAAATATTTTCTTTTTTGGGGGGATGTGAATGTGAATGAAATAGTTGGCTTTCTCAGGCAGCAGTGCATGATGGGTAATGTCTCACAAGCGCACAGCTCAGCAAACTGCCATTCTACTCCTTTGTTTATTTCTTTTTATTTTAAACATTTAGTGAAATCTGTCTTTTCTACATTCTTACCAACAAAACAACAAAGGCAGGGCTTTGTTTTTAAATGAGAAAATAGGTCGGGGTGGGTCAAAAACTTTCCCATTGAATCACTGTTTGGTAAGCGTCATATCTCACTATCTCTGCAAACACAGCTGAACAACATACCTCATCTGGTTCAAATGACTAATCTTTCTGAAATATCGGGACGTCGCCCAGCACATATTTAAAATATTAAACATGACGTTTGATATGAGCATCAGTGGATTAATCATTTGAGGGAAAAACAAATCTTAAGCGGAGAAATGACAGCTATAGGTTATGGTTTTGACTTTCAAAGCATCTCACGTTCCATTTTTAACATCATGTGGATATCAGTTTTTTAAAATAGGGAATAAAATAGGGAAAAAGCATGCACAATTGTAGAATACAAAAATGAATAATACAGAATCACAGGTTGTGAGATTAACTATTAGACCATCGTATGAACCAGCCATTCTGTCTGGTCACAGGCGGGTATGTGATATGAATGAATATTGCTTTTCTTAACGTTCAACATGCTGGTGTTCAAAATACTGACATATCAGAAAGGAAAAACTCGGGGAGGTCAGTTCCCAAACGTGTTCATGAAAGGTTTGAATGCACATGAACGTTTCCTCACATGAGAATTACACATCTTTTCTTCATTAGCTCGTTTTTGCACTTTCATTTTAACGAGTCTGGCGACCTTCCCAGTGTCTATATCTCAGTGTTGTGGCAAGGACGTTTTACCTAATTAAGTCAGTTTTATTTAGAGGGAAAACAGACGTTTTATACAATATTTCTATAATTAGCTGAGTCCTTGTGTCCAGAGGCAGACATGACAGCAGGATCACAGCAGGACTTGGAAGAGAATGTTAGGAGTGAAACACCGACATTCATGGGTAAATATAATAATAATAGTAATAATAATAATAATATGCATATTGTTAATAACAATAATGATAATGATGATGATGATGATGAACCTGGACAGCGCACACTATCGCATAAACCGATTTATTCTCGAGTTTCACTCTTTTGCCTGTTACTATTTTACTTATTTAGCTAAGGAAGATTAACGGCGGTTTGCGCCTTTGAGTGAGTTACAGAAATTTAACATAAAGCATCAGTTCGACTCTACACAATTTATAATATATATATATATAACTCCCCCCCCCCCCATTTATACCAGTATGTGTTCCTTTACATAGCCGATCTCACTGGTACCAGTGCAACTCAACGTTCTTTTTTATACCTCATTTACAGCAGTATAACTCTCCGTGTCGTACGTTCATAAACTCCAATCCTTCCGGTATCACTAACACAGGTTTCATGACAAGATAACAATATTCATAGTCACCGTCGTGAGTATCTGAATCTATTAACAATTATTTACCAATGCATACCGAGTAATGAAAAATATTTAATACCGATGCTTTACAGCGCTGAGCTAAGCGAGACCTCACCTTTATGTGAATATGTGCGATTAACATCGTAACATGTAATTGCAGAATTAAAAATTGACGCTGTTTGGAAAAGCGACGTTGATCCGCCACATATTTCATCAACACAGAGTCGGGAAAAGAGGCTTTGCTTTGCGTCCAAGAAAGGCTGCTTCCGCTTCTAAAGTGACTTTCATCTGCAATTAAACTCAAAGCAATTTTGCCAGATGTCACGAGAAACGAGTTGCCTTACGGAACAACTACGTGACTTTAATCAAAGTCTATCTTTTTTGCGAAGAAATCAAAATACTACGCTTATCAGACGAACCAACAGGTAAAAAGATCCCAAGTCCCAGTTCAGTTTGGTGCAGTTTCCAGCCCACAGAAGCCTTATTTGTCTACGCTTTTCTTCCCGTGAGTGATCCTTCGGACTGCATCCAAAATATTTTCCGAGACTGCTGGTAATCCCCCAGAGAAACTTTAACGCGAAAGCTGGGTTTCTGTGCGCCGAAGAGGACCGCGATCTTAGCTCACTTTAAGGTGCATGCACGCCGGGGGTGTGTAGAGGGTGATCAGTGTGAAAATGCAGACGTCCTGCACGGCGGTCACTGCGATCACTTACGGCAGCTGCCTAGGAAGCGATGCGGTCAGTCGCCTTCTCTGCGGCGCGGCTTTGCGGTGCGCATTGCACTGTCCCTTTGCCATCGAGAGGTCTCACATTTTATGCGCCTCCTTCCTAAGAGCCCAGGGACATATTGTAGCTGGTAAATAACTGTGTGGCTGCGATGGGGCTTCGGAAAAGCCTCCCCGTCTTGCACCAGCCTTTCCCAACTTTGGGACACTCCCAAACCGCCTGCCTTTAACAGGGTCCAGCGCTGGTGAACTGGTGTCTAATAAGAGAGTCGGTACAGCGCTGTCGACCCTATACTGGCTCCACAGCACCGACCAGGCGACCCTCTCACTCCTCCAGCCAAACACCAGTGGCGCCTCCTCTCTTCTCCTCATGGAGTCTTTTTTTTTTTGGATGCGTTGTCTCCTGGCTGAGCGCAACTTAACGGACGTGTGCGACCACAGCCACTTATTTTCGGCTTGATTCCTTACGTCTGTTTTTTCCCCCCTTTTTGTTCCCTAACGGAATATATTACATAAGCTGAGCAGCCGGGTTCGTTCCCCGAAAACCTTTTTTGTGCCAGAAAGAGTTTAATAGCAGTCCACAAAGTGCAATTTGTTTAATTCGTTTTGTCGGTGGGGGCTTTTCCTAATGATGACAACTGTATGTGTCATTGAGCCTGCTTTTGTAGCTACTTGCAGCTTTAGATGGGCTCCTGCTTTGTAGAATGGTTCTGGAAAGCCCTGCACATGGACCCATGGCCGATCCAAAAGCCCTGCAGGTTGGATGACCTTCCCCGGGTCAGCATAGCTCTGGACGCGGTCACATAGGTCCAGATCAGCTTGTGAGGCTGGTGACACGTCTAGCTGTCTGCTTTGTCCTGATGTGTGTCCTCAAGGCTGTCACAGTATCAGTCTCTATGTGGCACTGGGACAGGCGAGACCCCCCCCCCGCTGCTCGATCATTTGTCACGTCTCAGGCTTTTTATTGAAACAGTGCGATGGAAAGTGTAATGTTCGAGTACAGGAAAGGACATGACTTTGGGTTGAGCTTTGGGGGGGGGGCTTGACATATCCACTCATTTCAGGGAGTCCATTGGATTGGAGTGTATTGGCTGGATTTGATTGGGGGCAGTTACAACCCCCCCCTGCATAATTTAGGCTAAGCTTTACTTGGGACCCCCCCCACACAGAAAAGTGATGATCATTTCATTTCCTCCTTGACGCAGGTAATTCAGGGACCCGAGGCAACTACCTATATATTCTGCCTACAGCTAGTCAACCCTGACTGTGTAGACTGATATCTCTAAATTCAACAAACATTGAAATTCTTAGACGTTCGGCAAATATAATATGAAACACACACTTGTGCAGAGGACGGGTGTGTTACTTGTGCACGACACACTCAATGTAAATATGACCTACTGCATTGCTATTTTCACTCTAATTTATTATTGGCAGTGTTAAAAACTGTGAACTACCGTAAATTGCCGTATCCTATTTCTTTTCTGTAGTGCCCGCTGCAACATCCAAATTTCCCCTTGTGGGATGCATAAAGCTTATCTTACGTGTGATTTATCACGACTCACCCTTGCCAGGCCGTAACTGGCATCACGCAGCGTGATGGAGGGATTGCGTCTGGCAGGAGACCGGCGCGGCGCTCAGCCTGCGACCATCTCGCCCTCGGTCAGCAGCAGCCGGAGATCTGTCGCGCGAGAGCGAGCCTCGGACTCTGCGGAGCTCGGCGTACCAGGGCAGATGTCAGACTCAGGTCCTCTCTGGGTTTTTCCATCGCCTGTACCAACCAGACCGCCAGCTCTGGTCTAAATCTCTGCCTGGAATTTCTTTTTCCCACGGGGTCGTGGGAAGCCCTCGCCCTGGGAAAATGGCCCGCTACGCCCTGGCTGTTTTCTTTAGGTGTTTGCAAGTTTTGGCGCCAGTGAGTCTATGTTGTAACAGCTGTCCTCAACTGGGAATTCCTGCGCTGTAGACAATTAAATGTGGTTTGACTCAAAAACGGTACGTCACCCGTGGTCTAGTCCTCATTCATTTAAAAATAAATCAGTCATCTCATAATGCCCTTAAAATTACATGTAAACTAGTCAATTGTGTGCCGTTTGACAGATATACACCTCTAATAGATCTATGAGCATTTAGCTTCTAAAGGCAGTGTGCAAATTAGGCTGTAGCTCAGTGATTCTTTGCACGATGCTCTTCAAATTTAATGCACTGATCTTTTGCATATAAAATGCTGGATTATTTTCTAGCTGACCCATTTTTTAGTTTGAATTATGGTATTTATAGCCTTATTCCCGGCTCTAACACTTTACATAATTGTATGTACAGGTCTGATGTCCTCTGTCACTTTACAAAGCAAATAGCAGTTGTGGAGTATATTAAGTTAACATCCATCCAGTGCAGGGTTACAGTGTACCTGGAGTCCATCCCAGAAAGCAGAGGGGAGGGGACACCTTGGATAGGACGGCCCATCACAGGACCACCCGTGCAGGATTGAGAGACAGCAGTTACACTTCTTTTATTAACAATAAAAATCAGTGGAATCGCTCCTGACTCTGAATGAGAGTCCCGACTCTGGGAAGGGTGTGACTATCAGTGCAGCACTGGACGTTTGGATCGTGACACACTGCACACTTCGCTAACTTCACCGCTTCCTGGGTCCAAAGATGGCAAAAGGGAGTCTGGCAAAAGCCCGACGAGCGACACACACGTGACAGCACTGGAAGAGTCACTCGCTAAAAGGAGTCAAACAGGTGATTCTCATGCCCACCAGCAGCTGTGGCTGGAGAGGCTTAGGTGAGGCCCGGCGAAAATATGCAGCAGAAGCGGCTGGTTAGACACGGTGACTCACCTTCGTTCAGAATTTGTAAGTATGTATACATTTTGTACGTTCACTTCCACTCGTTGAAGTTATGCAATAAACAAAATCAGTCATTAAACCAGATTTAGCCACAAAACGTCACTTTGCTTTGCAGCTCCTGGGTAGAAAAGTGGCAAATAACACAGATCATAAATCACTCCTCAGGTGAACGTGCCAGAACCTTAATCCTTGGCGCGGTAGAAGCGGCACTTGGCTGACTGGCCCGGCACCTGCTGCTTCCCACATCTGCTTCCCTGGCAGAAGGGGGCAGCTGTGTGTGCCTCGCTAAGCATAGCCGGGGGCCACCTCTTCCATTAGGAGTTCCAGACCAGCGTGGCTACGGTTCTGACCCGCTACCTAGTCTCCCTGCAACTTGCGCTGCTTGTCGCTTTAGTGGCACCACAGGATTCATGCTCATTACTGCAGGTGCCTGATTTTTTACTTTTTTTTTTTAATGAAACATCACATGACCTGAGCAGCATAAACATCAGCACCTGGTTCATCCAACCAGCCATGAAGTCCCATAAAAACCAAAAACAGGACTGTGTTCACCTTCATCAAAATCCGAAGTCACTGATAAAATCAAAACGCCAAAAATCTTTTTAAAACATTTGCCATGCTCAATGTGGTCAATTTTTTTAAGAAATAATTGCTCAACAATAATTTTAATCACAAGGGCTTAACGATGAAACTCAATCAGGTATCTGAAAACCTGCCCTGCACATATACGTTTCTCGACTATTTTAGCATAAGCTCCTGGGCATCTGCTTCCAACCTAAGGACTGTACTAGTGATGTTGGTCGTTGAAAATTTTATTTTGCTTGCACTATGGTTACTTATTTGCACTATGTGTACAGTCTTTGCACTACTTGTATGCTGATCCATATTATACATGCACAATAATCTCCCTCTGGGATAAAGTTATCCATCTAAGATAATCCAAAACGACCACACATTTGTAGATTCACTTTCCACACTTTGGAATAACTGCTTTTTTCAGGTAGTAATTGTTATTGACCTTTTCTGGTATATCAGGAGAATACATTTACTGAAATATGTCAGCTGTAAATAAATGATAATGTCTGTCAGTAAAAATCCGACGGGCTGAGCAGCTCCCAGCTTGGAACGCTCACGGCTTTGCTCAGCTGGAGAGTTCCAGCAAAAGCAAACATGGACTCTGGAGACTTCGGCTCGGCGTGCTGGAGCCTCTCGCGTCTGTCACTGAGCCCGGGGAGGGGCGCGGGGGCCGATAACGGCCAGCGTAGGTGACGGCTCAGTGACGCCATACCTTAGGCGGCAGCAGCCCAGCTCTGCTGCAGAGGGAAGGTCTGACCCATCAGTGTCCTTCACAAGTGACTCACACAACGCTGTCAGAGACGAGCACACTGCTGTTACACAGCTGTAGGAATGTCTTATCGGTGTCCTCTGACACATCTGGCTGGAGCAGCGGCAGGCCTCATTTCAGGGGGTGTAGGGCAGAGATCCCAGCACCTCCCTGTACACCGCAACAGCAGAGACGCCATTCAGAAGTGGGAGAGGTTAACCTGCCATGCCCTGAAGTAAGAGTCTACAGGCAACATCAGGGCAGCTAAAACATGCGCATTTCCCTGCGGTATCACAGAATCATCTCCTGACGGCTACATGCAGTAACCACCAGGGGGCTTTCGGACAGCATAATTGTTGATATCCATGGAGCCTGCTATTTACTTTAATTTGGGAGTGCCACCAGGGGGCAGTCATCCATAGACTGGGTTATACAGCTCCTATCCACAGTCAATGTCCTTTGAGTACTATCAGGGGACTTTATACAGCACAGTATCATTTATCATTACCATAAAAGGGCTCCAGTCCAGACTGTGCGGTTTACAATGGCCACCAGGGGGCTCTGATAGCCAAAACACACCACATATATGCAGTGAATACCGTTGACCATTTGGGGGGGGGGGGGGGGGGGGGGGGCTTTCATCTAGAATCAGGCCCAAAACAATGTGGTTAATGTGCTTAAATAAAACTATAAGATGCCTTAGCACCAAGATATACTCTGAATAAAAACATAATATTGAAAAGTTGAAAGTTGGTCATGGGGGCACCAGTGAGGGAGCCTGTCAGGGAGTTCAGCCCTGTGGGCTGTGCAGTGCAGTGCAGTGCAGTGTAGTGCTGTCCCTCCCTTCCAAGCAGACTGAAAAACAACATGGCGGCCTCGTGCCAAGCACCGGATGTGTGACAAGGGGGAAGGAGGAAGAGGCCTGCTGAGGGAGACTCACCTAGCCGGGCCTGTCCAGCAGAACCGTGGCCAGGAGGAGGAACGCGCCTGGGAGCGGATGGCTCACATCTCCGCAGATGGTAAGGAAGAGCACGGTCGGACGGAGCGCCTGCAGCAATCACAGCCGATGCTGCTACCATGCCCTTCTGCACAGAAACACACACGCATCTGTAGCTAATGCATAACGTTATATGTATTAACTGGGGAATGTGGTACTTGGTAGTATTTAAACATGCACATCCACTTGGCTTTGTTCACCGTTTGTAAATACCGGTTTACTGACTGATGCTCATACTTTAAAAGCTATTTTTATTATTCTTTATGTTCTATGCTGTTTGTGAAAGGACGAACCAATGAATTCTGATTTTGAGGACCTGGAAATTTGAGAACAAATGGATTCGGAATTAGTGGCATGATGTGCTTGGACCAGGGTTACCAACGTGGTGCCCGTAGGCACCAGGATGCCCTCAAGGACCACATGAGTCGCCCGCGGACCTGTTCTAAAAATAGCACAACTCACCAGTGAGCAGCGTCTAAAATTTAATTTTATCCTGTTGCTATTCTTCTTTAATCACATTTGCATTTATATAGATTTGAAAATGACAATATCTAAAAAAAAGCATTAAAAACATGTTTATTACACAAGAAGTTTAGATAAGTTTAGGAGGGCGTTTCAGACTGGTAGCCCTTCGTATGGCTCAGTACCCGTGAAGTAGCTCTGTTTCAAAAAGGTTGGTGACCCCTGGCTTGGACAATTACAGCAAATGTGTGAATTTTTTGCAAAGCTGGTAGGGTTGTCGGGGAACCCGATTCTGTGAATCATAAGCAAAGTCCAACACTTTGCTGGTCCGAAAGAAGGATGTACACGCCACCCCCAGTCAACACGCAGACGCTCAGTAAGAGGGACAACTGTATTCATTTATTCCCATTCAGTTTCGCACGCAACAACCTGCCCAGTCAGTGACGTTTCCAGAAATCGTCGTCGATTATCAAGACTTTAAATAAATGCATAAATACTCGGTTTGAACATAAACCGTTGTTCATGTACACATTCAGGGTCATTCCGCTGAGGTCAGAGGTTCACCGCTACGTAACACTGACAAGGATTCCAGTAAAAATTACTCACAAAACCTATACAAGCCGCTGGAATTTACAAAATAAATTAATTGTTTAAATGAACCCTCAGGTTTTTAAGTCCAGACAGTTTAAGATACTTTAAGATCTCCCTTAAAATGCTGAAGCTTTTCTTGTAAAATACTGGGAAATGTTTATGACAACTAAAAACACAAGTTGTTAAACATATTTCCCTTTGTAGAAGTCTTTAGTACAACAGACGTTCTGTCAACAGTATTTACACTAGACATTGAGGTAAACCATGCCAGATGTGTAAGAAAACATATACTTTTTTTGCATATTTTACATTCAAAAGTGAACTTTTTTCATTCGTACACCAAATGGCATGTGAATGTTTTCCAGTCCATACCAGCTGACTTTCCGCAAAGCCAACGTTGTGAAGCAAATAAATTCATGCATGTAGCCCTTACAAGCCCTATGTCTAGAATGAAAACAGAGAAATTACTACATTTCTCCTTCATCCCATTTTAAGTGTAAACTTGGGAAAAATCTCAACAGTAAACTACTTGTTTGCCCCCTTGTGGCAGAATATGGAACTGCAATTGGCCATCCACAGGCCTGGAGTACTTCTCAGAGGTGAAGATTTGATACAAGCTTCAACGCAGTTCACCCTCCCCTACATAAATCTGTCTACTGGAACTTCCTGACTGCCAAAGAAAAATCTCATTTAAAAACTACACGTTCAAGTAAAAGGTAGGACTTCAGAAGCTCAGTTCGTTCTGATATCCCTGAACAGGTTCCTCCTGACAATAACATTTCTTCTACTAAAAGCTGGTACAATAAGCCATAAGCCATTAACTATGCACACTGGGAGATATTCTGATCGTGAACATCAAACAGCTTCACGCCGTTGTTACACTTCTGGGCCTCAAACACCAAAGGAGCTTTAAGGACCTTCCCACCTTCAAGAACCGTAGTACGGCAGTACACCTTCACCCTTCACCTCGTACCACTGATGACAGGAAGACTAAGGGAGACATGTGGCAGGGCGGGCCGGCCGGCCCTTCACTCCTCGTCGGCACTCTTAAACATGAGGATGGAGTTGTAGATCTTGAGGGCCGGACCCAGCTTGATGCTCAGGATCTTCACGATGTCGGCTTGTGTGAGAAGCAGGAAAGCCTCTCCGTCTATCTGCTGCGGAGACAGGAGGACAGGGGCCTGTCAACGCCTGCTGCTGCTTCAGGCAGATGGACAAAGGAGCCACTGTACCAGGCTAATGTCCAGGCTGATCTCAGTGACACGGTGACATTCGGACAGGGAGTGTCGCTAAGCTGACCTGCTCCAGCTCCACCTTTGCTTGTCTGGTTACTGGTGGTGCGTATTGAGAACAGTGCTGTAAATGTGTCTGATTTAGCCAAACGGCTGACTTTCCCTTCATTGGTACATTTATCTGACGCCTTTATCCAAAACTGCTAATGCCGCTTTTCCACTGCCAGTAAGAACTCGAACCCAAGCTGCTTACTAGCAGGGCAGAAAAGCTGACCAAACTGAGCTGGCTTCATCATCATCATCATCATCATCATCATCATCATCATCATCATCTGATTGGTCAAAATGTACGAAGATACTAGTGTCCATTGTATGGATTATCCAAAGGCAAAGATGTATATTCTATATATTATTCATTATTAGTAATATCGCACATCACCATGTATTGATGCATTCCAGATAACTCGGAACCTGAAAACTTCCAGCATCCTACTTAAAGTACTAGAATGGGTGAATAGAATGGATTCATAATGCAATATTTATGTGGTCATGCACAAATTCTGGTAGCATTTGACGCGGACATAAGACTGATTGTCTAGCTAGCAAAAAGCAGCACATAGTAAATCATGATGTACACCATCTGAATAGTAAGTAAACGTCACGGTCGCTCTCCAGACCCGGCAGCGCCTTTGCCGAGCCGAACCCTTCTGCAGTGGAAAACTGAAGCCAGCTGGAACCGTGCTGTACGTAGTGTCTCTTTACAGTACGGCTCGGGTACGAGTCAGTTCCTGTATGCCAGTGGAAAAGCGCCATAACCGTAAAGGGAAAGGTTACAATTTGTGTGTGCTCCCTGGGTTTTGAACCCACAACTTACTTGAGCTACAGGAGCTATTCAGCAGCTTTAAGCGCACAAAAATAAACACTCTCAGTAAAGCAGTGAAACACTTGAATCTTCTTTGTATATTCAGTATAACAAAAACAAAAGTCACATACTGCAGAAGGTTTAAAAGGACTAAACACATAAGACCAGTTACAGTTACAGGCAGTAACATTTATAATATTAATATCAGTGTCGCTTACCTCATTCCTGAAAGTCGGGGCATGGTCTTTACAGCCCGGCAATCCACAGACAAAACTGGCAACCTGGAAGGCCGATAAGTCAGCAGAGAGTCAGAGTCAGTGAGATGACACACTCCAGCTGGGAGCCCAAACACCTGCCACTTGGGACTGTGGAGGTACTTTTGTACATCTATTTTTTAGGAGATGCTTTTATTTTTTTAAGAAAGCAGGGTCAGTCAGTCCCTGGAATAACTGGGGGCGGTCAAGGGCGCAACAGTGAAATCACTCTGCCGACCCTGGGATTCGAACCAGTGACCTCCCGATCACAGGCAAGGTGATCGGATAATTTACAAGTACATGGTTACGTGTGTGTTAATTAATGCACATAAATAAAAGTGCGTGTGTGTGTGAACCCGCCCACCTCCTCCACGCTCCACTTGGACACCCGCTTGGCAGTGAGGCCCAGCACCTCCGGCAGGAGCTTGCAGTGCTTCTCCCAGCACATGTGGATGCGGTGGGTGGGGCTGGAGGAGCAGGAGGAGGCGAAGATGCACTCACGAGCAGGGTGCCGGAGGCCGCCGGGGCCCTCTGCTGGGGAGGAGGACACAGCGCAGGACACAGTTTGTTATGCTATGCTATGCTATGCTAAGCTAACTGCCCTGTTGACAGAGCGTTAACGCTGCATAAATAACCTCACACACTGACTCACCACCCACAGCTGCAAAACCACTTTTAAACAGTGATCTTCACATATCAGATCAGGAGTGTTGCCAGGACCTTCAGACACAATGTGCATCAGAGAGCGGCTGGTTCTGAAGCCCAGCTAACCGGCCCCAGCAGTCCATACCTCGGCTCTCTCCGGCTTCCTGCTTGACAAGATGCAGCCTCAGGCACCGGGGAATCGGTCCGGACCTGCAAGTGAGCAGGACATGGAGCCCATCACGCCTGGGCCGCATGCCACAGAGAATCGCAGGCAGGACCTGAGCGGCCCAAGGCCAGAAGCGCTGGAGGGTTAAGGCCGGGCGTCTTACTTTTTGGGCCGGGTGCCGTTGTTACTCTGCTCCCTGGTGCCCCCTGGCTGCTCATCGCCGCAGTGCGACGGCTCTGACAGGCTCTGGGTGCTGCTCCGGCCTGATCGCTCACCCTCGCCACTCCATAACTTCCTGCCCGAGCTGCGGGGAGGGGGGGGGGCACCGTTACCACAGCAACACATCCCACAACCAAGTCAGCGGTTACAAAGCCAGAAAGAAACTGTTCTGCAGAAAGCGGGTTTCTGTACTTCTTACTGCTGAGACTCAGACTGACTCCATGCCCCCATATCTGAAGTTCCCAGGATGATTAAAATTAACTCCATCCTGCTGCTAAATGTTGAATGTCAGGTAAAATTAGAACGACTAGTTGATGACAGACCCCCTTAATTTCAGCTGACATTTGAGAGTTAGTAAGCTGGAAAATAAACTGACTTTGCACACTCTAGCCATATTCCTAGCTAGTTTCTGAGTAAGCTTTAATTTAATCTTTATCCAGTGTCTGCAGTACAGGTCCACATTGAGCCTGGGTACCAGGTGGGGGGCGTGGCACACTGGACAAGGTGCCAGCCCACTGCAGTGCAATTAAGAGACACCAATCAGCCCAACTGCATATCTCTGGCCTGTGGAAGGAAACCAAATCCAGAACCCTGGAGGTGTGATGGCTGACTTTTACTGGATAACAGACTGGGCGGCCCAAGCTGCTTAGGGCACAGCGGCCACTAGGGGGCGCCCCCATCTGATTAGCCACTCAGAATGGGAGGGAAGATGAATGACAACTAGGGTAAACAGATTTGGGGGCCTCATAAAAAGGGTTGGGCTGGCCAACACATGCCTGGACTGGGGTGAGTCTTCCGGCATGTCCGGCAGCTCCGGGGTGGTGGAGGTGGGTGTGGCCGGCTCAGACCGCTTGCCGCGGTGGGGCCCGGCGACGGCTGTGGGCCGCTCCCCGCTCAGGCGGTCAGGAATCAGGCCCTCCTTGTTCAGATTCATCTCAGAGTACGGGCAGCTGACAGCACTACAGAGAGGAAGACAGCATGAAGGGCAGCCGGGCAGCTCTGCGGGGAGACCGGGGCGCCGGCCTGTGCTAAAGCAGCCCTGCGCTAGCGGCCCTCTGGGGGGAGTCACGCACAGGCAGCTCCCAGCCCATCTGTCACCTACAGGACAGCATGGAAAGTGAGCAGCTTGAGGAGGAACAGCACCTGGGATACAGCGTAGCACTATGCTAACAGTGCTAACCCTGCTAAATATAGTGGAACCCGCTTATTGTGATGCCACTTATAGTGATCAACCTCTTATATGGATGAAAAAGGCGGAACAGCACCTGGGATACAGTGTAGCGCAATGCTAACAGTGCTAACCCTGCTAAATACAGTGGAACCCACTTATAGTGATCACAATTATAGTGATTAATCGCTTATATGGCTCAAAAAGCTTGGGACAGAATCATTCCTATACAAATATTGTTTAAATAATTCGCTTATAGTAATCAAGTAGTCAGAGCGGCCATATGCGCTTCAGTTTGGTTCATTTTGGGTCTTCTTAGACATAACATATATAAAAAATTAAACTGCCATGTTGTTTTTTTTAACGTTACATTGATAGCCCTACTTTTCCTTGCGCTAACCCGTCTGCTTCTGGCTAGCTAGGCTACCCAAGGCTAATGCTGCATGCCCAGAAAACACGACAGGAAAAAGAACGTCATTTTCTCTCAATGACAAATATAGATTCAAAGCTTATGATAAACTACCAAAAAAGACAAAAATACAAAATAAAACACTGAAAATACACTGCATAAATAAAATTGAATAGAATATAAAGTACAGTATTATAGCATATTCGAATTATACACAGTTCAGCAACTTGATTTGTACAGTAATTTGAAAAGCGTTTGAAACAGCTGTACTGTATTTTAAAATCATCAATAAAATTAAGTAAATAGCAACGCTGTCCGTTTTTATTAACTTATATTCCTGCAAAAAATATACAAAAGTCAATTAGATGGTAATCTGCCTGAGACATAAATGGTTGGAAATCGGTTATAATGATCATCCGCTTATGGTGATCTGTTTCACTCAGACAGACGTGATCACTATAAGCGGATTCCGCTGAATAACCCAGCCAGCAGTACCAATGCTATGCTATGCTAGCAGCCGCATTCAGAGCGCTGAAGCTCACTCACGTGTAGTGAGTCCCGTAACGGGGCCCCCGGATGTGTCCCACGCCGTTACACCCCGGAGTGGGGCAGCCTTGACCCAGAAGCACAGAGGTATCTGTGGAACCTGAAATGGGACCTTCTGTTAGGAGACTTGAGGAACTACAGACCTGAGTCCTACTAGCAGGCCGATTGGTTAACAAGTAAACTTTGGGAATAAATGACAATTATCTGTAAAAGTGATTCTCAACCTTTTTGTGCCGCCACCTAATTGTTACCATGCCAGCTCAGTCACGACCCTATATCAAGTATAGGTTTAAATTAATGCTATGATCAAGCGTGCAGTTCACTCTGCAATTTACGCCATTTAATGCCTATCGCACAAATCTGAATGGATGTGCCAGTGAATTTTAAATTAAACATCTGTTTAATGATTGAGTGTTCATTAGTTTTGCACTAAGCATTTGCAGACCCAAGACCTGTTTATACGGGTTCATTCTAGGATAGGGGCTGGGAAATCTGATCGTGGATCAGCATAGGAGCTTGCTGGTTTTAAAACGCTTACATTTCCAACTCTTTCAGAACTTGCCATTTGGGTCGCGACCCACAGGTTGAGAATCACTGATCTATAAAGCTCAGACCATGATGCCATGGAGCTCCCAGAACAGATTTGGAACAGATCTCCCTCTATAGCCACTCAAACACCACCCCTGAAGATGGGCGTTGAGTGATGGACCCGGGGATGACAGCTGGTACAGACTACATAGCCGGGGACCCCAGTCTGAGCGCGCTCAAGACCAGAGTCGCAGCAGATGCCCAATGGAACGAGCGCCAGAGAGCACTTGGGGGAGTGACTGAGCTCCACCCCAGCCACGTACTATGGGGGTTCTGCAGAGGATGGCCCGTCTTCTGGCACCAGCCTATGGGGTGTAGCTCCGGACTGTCCACATCCACCCAGTAATCGTACTCCTTGCTCCAGCCGTCAAAGTGCACCTGTAAGGACGAGCAAAACCGATTCACTAAGCAGCGAGACATGACTCCCACAGAACACGCGTGTAACAGCAGGCCGACGTCCTCAGAGTTCACAGGCTTCACAGGGAACCGTTACGAGCCCAGACAGCATTTCCAAACACACACCCGCAGTCTCATTTTGCTAAAGTAGCTTTTTCCAACCAAAGTTTCTCTATAGCAGCATTTCTCAACCCAGTTCCCAACATGTCAGTACCAGGTATTCTGGGTTCTTCATGGGCTGGAGCTGAGAGGGAACAAAAACGTGGACCATCTGGGGGTGTCCGAGGACCGGGTTGAGGAACGCTGCTCAAGAGCACATGCCAAGGTTACTATTCAACCTCCCCCCCGCCCCCTACATGTCTGGTCCACTTCAGGTGTGTGAGGTGATACTATCCAGGAGCCGGTTGGACAGACCCCCACAGGTTCACAATGCAGGATGCTGGGGCTGCGGCATTAACCCAAAGCGAAACGCCATTCATCCACACTTCTATTTCTGGACAGTTTATCAAGGCTAGAGAGGAATCTTCTACTGAAGAACTTGCAGAGGATGCAGCTCAGTGCTCAGTCTTTCAGCAGCAGTTTGTGAGATGTGGAGATTTGGAAAAAGGAGATGTGGAGAAAGGAGATGTGGAGAAAGCAGACAGGATCACAGGTTGGTCAGGAAGGAATTAATCCAAAGCTTACAGGGAAATCCAAGGAGGTACAGCAAGCAAGAAATGATGAATGAGTAAAGTACAGCAACCTAAGGGGAGGAACAGATCCCCCCCCCCCACCTTGGTAAATGCTCAGCTTGTAAACATAGTTCCTAAGAGACACAACTGGGGGTGGGAGGGGGGCACTCTCCATTTTCATTAATCACTCTCCTCGTGATGAGGGCCCAGCTGACGCTCTCCACAGAGGCCTGGGCAAACCAAGCCAGTGAGACATCAAGTCTCCATTTCTGCTGTCACCTTGCCATGGGGAAGGAAAGCCGTCCTCCTTAAAAGGGAAGTGCCATTTTTCCGGGATGTCGACAGGGCAGAGGCTCAGTTTCAGTGGGCAGGGGGAACCCCCCCCGCGCCCGCCCTTCCTAGCAGCCAACGAGGCAGAAATTGCCAGAAGAGCATTTCTTTTGAAAATACCGCCAAAATACTGTTAAGCATCCGAATGTTACGCCGGTATGAAATCGGAGATACCGTCCAAGCAGGAACCTTTCCTGAAAGCATCCTCCGCAGAACCGGCTGACCCGCTCGATTAAATTGAATAGAAAACACGGCACCCCCAACCGACCATGCTGGGGAGGTGGGGGACGGTGCGGATGAAGAGAGTGGGAGGGGGCACCTTCAGCCGGTGGTCTTCGGTATCTGCCACGGTGGCTACGCGGATCAGCATGGGGTTCCGCTTGTCCACGGCCTCCAGCTTCATGCCCATCTGGAACCCATGTAGCGGCCTCTGGACGGGGAACCGAAAATGACGTGAACTTCCACGCAGGATCTCCTCCACCTGCCCCTCCCTCCTCACACCTCCCTGGTGTTGCCAGAGCTCCCCCACCAGGCCTCGCTCACCTGTTTGAAAGCCCGAGCTGGAGCTGCCTGAGACCCCGTCTCTTCCAGGTACTTCTCCCAGGAGAAGCTCTTCGGATGCTTGTATTCTGAGAGCGAGACGGCGTTGTTCCGTCAGCATATCCATTTTATTTATTCAGCGACCAGAATGACTCATGCTCAGAAGTGCAGCAGTGCCCAGAATGCACAAATTCAAAATGATTACATTTTCACCATCATCAAAAGACATTACTGTACCGCTTTAAGAGTAAGTAGTGCCTTTTAGAAGGCAGACAGCTTTAAAGACTACTAACCCTAACCCACCCTGAGATCACTGATCTGGGACCGGTGATGAAGGTCGTCAGGATGGAGTAAAACACTGGTAATGAGACAACCGAACTACTCAGCCCTATAAAAACAACACTCAATAACGACACTGACACTAACTCTGAGAGAAAGAAAGAAAAAAAAAAAAGTATTTTGCCCTGGTTTAGGTGTGGATCTACCATTGAATTTTCACAGTTTTCCTCAAAGCTGAGCGTAGACGGACCAAGAGATTTTGTCACAAGGTACAGCAGAGCCTAAGAGATCCAGTTTTGATAAAACATGGAGTTACGGTGTTTCGCCTTTGCAGAGCAGTATAGGTTGGTCAAATTAAACAATGTCTCCCAAAGTTGCCCTTGTGTCTCAACGAGACCCGACACACACAGACCACTAGGGTTTACACCGGCCTAACTAGTGTAGCGTACCAGCTGGTGTGGTGAGCGTTAACTCCGCCTCCTCGCAGTATCCCACAGGGTGGATGTATGGGCTGCTGGCATCACACCTGTAAATAAATAAAAATAAAACTCACATTTACTAAATTTTCACTAAGGGCGCTTTTCCCCTGCAGCAGGTACTGCAGTTTTTGGTACGGAACATTCGGTACTTTCCCTTTGCCAAAAGCACCAAAAAGTTCCAGTACCGAAAGTGCCAAACCAGTTGGGTACTTCGGTACTTTGGGGTGGGACTTAAACACTTTCTTTCGTTCAGTTATATAAATAGCCAGCATCTAAACACAATACAACTGCCGTCTTGAGAAAAGAAAAAAAGATAGATATTAGGGTTTTTATAAAGCAAAAAGGAGTTAAATTTCTCACAAACCCATCTATGATCGTTATCAGAGAACGCATGTAGCGCTGGTAAACTTTCAAGTAATTTTTTAAACATACACTATATAATATTAATAAGGAATAATATTAAAATCGCACAGCTTCCTAAGCTTTTTTTTTTTTTTTTTCTTTCCTATGACAGAGTAAAAATGTTTTAGCAAAATGTAACCCCCCTACGCTATAATGTCCGTACAGTAGAAGGGTATGAAAACCAGCACTGCATGTGCATAAGCCATGTTGGTATTAATATCGCACACCGTCCAACCCTGTAATACGCTATAGACTTTTTTCAAATTCTGTACAAAATACCCATCTCGCGTTGACATATCACTGGGCACCGGTACCAGTTTCTACGGCAGTGGAAAACCAACACCTACCAAAAGTACAGTACCCTGGTGCAGTGAAAAAGCACCACAAATTCTCCGTGTTAAAAAATCGTTGATGACTGTTTATCACCCCCCAGCCTGCTACCGCCCATTTCAAAGACAAGATCACTGAAAGCTCAAGTTATAAGTCTGATCTGACTGTCAGAGGTTACCAAGAGACACTCCCTTTAGTAGAAGCACTGACTGCTATACGAGATTACCGCCGTTTTCAGCAGCCCTGCCGGCCAAGTCACGCCCAAACACAAAAGTCGCAAAAGTCCCCAGTACTCCGACCCCCTGACTCACCAGTAGTCATAGGACTCGTCCCAGTTGTCGAAGTGGATGAGCAGCCGGTTGTCGACGACGGCGCCGATGGTGGCCACGCAGATGAGAGACGGGTTCTTCCTGTCCACAGCTTCCAGCTTCATTCCCGGACGGAATCCGGACGGAGTCACAGACTGCGGGGATAAGGCGCTCGTCATCAAACGCCACGCAAGTTATTCATGCCAGAGTGCTAACCCCATGACAGCCTGCGATTTCACACGTTCCAGAAACATCTGCTGCCAGCCCAGCCCTGCGCTGAAGTGACCTTACGAACGCGAGCACAGCAATCACCACTGACGTGCAAACGTAACCCGCATGCTTCTCACAGCCCTATAGGAGGCGCCAGTAGCTCAAACACTGTTGTCCCCAGTTCACCCAACAGTCAAGGGCCTGAAAGGAGCAGCAACAGAGTGGCTTTATTAACCACCATCCACGGGTAACAGGGGTTCCCATGTAGCAATGTCTAGTACTGACAGACTGCCAGCAGGGCGGCGACACCCCTAGCTGCCACACTCTGACATGACATTCCCCAGGGATTCCTATAGGACTTCTCTCCAAGGGGAGACCACATTTTCAGGAAGCCAAAGGACTCTTACAGTGCTGCGACACACCCCGGGGCGTCGGAAACAGCGGTGGAGGGGGACACCCCCCATGGCCCCAAAAAGCGAATGTTCATTAACTTTCATTATGAATCCATGCGTTACTGAGGCCAGTTTGCTGCGGAGCGAGAAGATGAAGCACCTAACAGGGTGCAGATCTACAAACTCATATGGACCAGTCATTTTGTTTGGTTATGTTTAGATGTGAAACTGCACCCTAAACAGTGTTAGTCTTACTTAAAATGATTAAATCTTTATTATTTTAAATTTTAAAATCTTTCTTGACATTGCATCCTTTCACAATGCGACTCCTGAATCTATGCCCACTGCGATGTTGTAATATACATCACACCCCCCCCCCCCCCCCCCCCCGCACCCGCCCGCCACGCCCCCCCCCGCCCCCCCCCCCCCCCCCCACCACCACCAAAGTCCAAGTATGACCTAAGCCACACCCACTCTGATGTCACTGCCAGGGAGAGTGGCAATCCCGTCCTTCCAGTCAAGTGCAGTCATCATGTCAAAGTCTCCCCCAGGGGTAGGGGCATCTGTGGGGGGTGTGTCTGTCATCTTCAGTCTCCTTTCAGATGCAACACTAGATAGCACCAACACAAAAATGCTGATCTTACACAAACAACAGCAGGATTAAGAGCTAAATAGGAGCAAACGAGGCCCGGGCATCAGTGTAAAGGGTTAATAGACCCAAAGCTGTTGCCACATACAAGGCAGTAAAAACGAAAGTAAATCGTTGGATTTTCGGCGATTGGGATTGAGAAAAGCACCAGTATTATCAAATTACAAAGAAAAACGGGATGTGTTAAAGACCACGACAATCGATCTGCTCGACAACGTCACTGCTCACTGGAAAACGTCTCAAAATTTAACAGGATTATATTATCATAGAGAAACGGCTCACAGTACACACATGGTTATATAGAGCCGAAAAACGAATTTATACGGATTAAAATCAAAGCAACCCGCAAACGTCAATAGTTATACGTATCAACCCAATCGACACTCGTGTCTGTGATTAACTCCAATCCAATGCAAAAATGGTGATATGGTAACGCTTTAAAGTAGATACACACGGGTTTAAAAGCAGCACTGAAGCACGGACAGCACAGACGCTCAGCTCCACGTGTGCACTGTATTATTTTCCGAAGTGCGACAGACGCACCACCCTGCAGTCAGAAAGTTTGAGGCGGCAGCGAGGCGATGCGCACCTACGTCGCTAGAGGGCGACTGTCGGCCTGCGCGGCGTCGCTGCCCAGTAATGAACAAAAACGTAATATTTATGTTTAAAAAATACACGAAATTATAAATAAAGGGTGAAACACGAAGGCGCAGGGTGCACCCAAAGGGCCCCGACTAGGGAGCCTTCCGAAAAGCCGCACACGCACTCATAAGAGGGACAACATGCGCTTTCTCTTCTTTTTACAATATTTCGCTTACACCGTTGTTTGGTTTCGCACCGATAACTTAACCATGTTAATTATTTAAAAATTCAGCACATAAACTTGTTTTTCGCGGCCCAAGTATGAACAAAACTTTTATCTTAAATGATAACACGGACATTGCGTCTTTGGCCTGACGCTCACTTAAAAATTCGCTTTAGCTTTACTTACGTCACGATGGACAAATGCGGGGCTCAAAACACACTGTATGGAGGAATTGTTTAGTTTGTCTGCGTTTTTAAGTTTTTTCTTCTCCGTGCAGTTCATTCCAATCATAAATAAAGTGTAATGTATAAGCGCCCATTATTAGTATTCGCCTAATACAAAATGGCGGAGGGGAGGAAGAGGCCCCCCCAGCATGTTGAAACTATGTAAATAAAGAGAGTAAATGCCTTTAACGGATCGGTTCGCGTTATCGGCGACCGAGGCGACCGGAGCAGCTATCGCGGGTCTGCGCTTTTTCCCTCGCCGGGAGCCGGCGGCTCGGCTCGGTTCGACTCGTCCCGGAATGCAGCAGCCAGGGCCGGTCAGTCCCACCGTCCAGATGCACAGCCACGGCGCGGCGCAAGTCACAGCAATGCACACAAAAGTAAGTTTGCAGCCGAGTCCCCGGCACCGCGCACTGAACCCCTCGCACGGCCACCCATCCTGCCGACGTGCAAATCGACCCGAATCGCTTTAATTTCTTCTCTGCAAACTTGCCTGTGTAGTTTAAAATTTCCCCCCGTTTGGTGGCGCGGAACCCGGTGCAGGGGGGTGAAAGGCGCACTTGGGCGCCCAGGGCGGGGATGCCGGATGACCTCGGCAGGGCGGCAGGACGCGGGCAGATTTAATGTGAAATTCGTGCTACTCACCTCGTTTCTCTTTTAACTCTTATTAGGAGCCGAGCGGAGCGCCGAGCGCGCATGCGCCGCACGGCCGCTCCGCTGCCAACTTCGGCACGAGTACCGACCAGCGGCGGCCGCGGTGCCCAGCCTGGACTCGAACCCGCGGCGGGTCATTTGCGGGCACTGGGGACGTCGAGTCCGAAAGACGCGTCACCGGTGACGCGCAGGTTGCGCTGTGTCCTGTCGGAGTGGCATGTCTGCCCCCGGTGCAAAGGACAGCTGCCCGAAGTGTATATGACACCAGACACCATTAAACAAGCTGCCGTGAGCCTGTGATGTTTACTGTGATAACTTAATGCAGCGAACAAATCTCAGTTAATGCACACTAATGTCCCTTTGGATAATAAAACCAATGTAGCCTACGTGGTTCACTTTCGTGTTTGTAATATAGACTTCATTCTAAATTTCTTTGAAATTTACGTTTTTGTTAAGTCTCACTTGCAGGGCGATAATTGCATCATAAAGCAAGTTGCATCGTGTATTTATAAAATAATGAAAATCGTAGGCTACGAGTATTATGGCCACGGGTACCAGATCAGTGAACATGTGGCGAGAGATGGGAAAGACGCATGGCGTCTTATAACGAAGCCGAGCCGTATCAGTGCGGGGGTGTCGCTGCTTCTTATTCGGCTTTGTTCAGGTATCCGTAAGGAAAGCGAGGCTCACGCAGTCCGCACAACTGGGCAAATGCTGCGCTTCAGCCTTCGGCTGCACCCATCCGATCCACTTAAAGTTTCGCAGTTCCAGCGCTGTTTGACTGTTATTCACGTAAAATAACACATTTCATGTTCTTGTTTCGATTAGCATAAACTGTACATCTACTATACGTAATGTAGATTATCAAAACATTTATGCATAAGCCTGTGTACTAGAAATGAACGGTTATCTGGTTCAAAAACTGCAGTCAAATTTTGAAGACGTTGGTTTACTTTCAGGCAAAAAAAACTAAGTAATAAAAACACAGTATGCAACTGGTCCAGCTGGATACTTAATGGCCCGAATCTATTTGTATGACTGAATGCATGACTCCATCGACAAGCAAAAACAGACGTGTTGAACTGCAAACTGTATAAGAAAGACTGCGTTAGGAAGGGGGGAGGGGACAGGACTGGACCAGCAGTTATAGAGCAGGGGGAGGTAATGTGACCTATCTGTGCCTGAAGACCGACCTTAAGGAAATCAGAACCTTCCTCTGGTCCCAGGGTCCTGCCCCCTCCCCATCTTCCGGAATGGTCTCCCTTCCTGCGTGTCTTTGAGTTACTAGTGAACTGTGCAGTTCTCATCAGTTCCTTCTTCTAATTGCTTTGAGATCCCCCCCCCCTCAAATATTACAAACATTACTGTATATTATTGAAGGACAATCAGGGGTGCAGCTAAAAATTCTAGGTCCCCTGATGAGACGTCACCATGGGGTGGGCACTCTACTTTCAGTCTGAAGGAATATGGACCCCATGCGTATGGGATTCGGGGACCCCCCCGGTAGGCTTTGAGGTCCCTATAAAGCATTGGCCCCCCTGTAACTGCCAGGGCATGGTATCCATGACCTCCCGATGCCCGTGGGTGCAGCAACACTGTAACAGAAAAACAGAGAGGAAGCAGGGCAAGGGAAGCCTGTGTGCATTTCATAATTTTTTGTAATAAATGTGTTTCCTTTGACACACTGGACAGAAAGTTTGACTTGCGTTGGGACAAACTGAGGATGAGGTTTTCCTTCAAAGGAAGAAGTCCTGTATTACAGTTTATGTCTTATATTGATCCCGGTAATGGTGTTACTGGGTTGGGCCGATCGAAGCCTGGGTGGCACACTAGGCAAGCTTAACCCCCCCGAAACCCCCCCCCCCGAAACCAAGCTAATGCATAAGCGATGGAAGTAAAGAAAAAAAGGATTGTTCATTGTCTAATCTTACATAGTAGCGCAATAAATAATATTATAATAAGTGACATTATTATATATATTAACTGGTGCTTTGAAGTCATAATGTGCCCTTATGTCTTTAATTGCATTAATTTTGATGCCCCCTTGGGAGAATAGTATGAGCGAAGATTTTTAATAGAATTTAATTTCTATGCTGAATATGCAGAGTATAAAACCATTTCTTGATGGTATTACAGCATGACTGTATATCCGATTAACTGCCAATGTGTGTGATTAATCGCAATTAAAAGATCCTTTTTTACATGTCTTTTTGGTCACACCATGGCAGATCATACCTGTTCAGGGCCTAAGGCTAAGCTTTACCTGGGAGCCCCCCCCCACAGAAAACTGATGATCATTTCACTTCCTCTACAACGCAGGAAAATCAGGGCCCCAGGCACGTGCCTGTTCTGCCTACAGCTAGAACCGGTCCAGCGCCATGGTAACCGAACAGTATCCTTGATACTTGTCCCCTCATGTAGCTGTTCTAGACTGCAGAGGGCACCAGTACTTCTAGGGGCACGAGCAAGCCAATTTCACTGGTGCATACCAGTGGTGTAGTGCTGTCTTGGCAGGTGGGTATCCTGTTCGACCGTATAATTGTGTAATCGCACTTCTCTGACTGATACGCATTTCTGACCATTTTTTTACATGTGGGTATACTCTGTATACCTGCATATACCCACCACAAAACCTCTGGTATGCTCTACACACAAGTGAAATTGCCTGCTTATGTCGCCTATTTACGACTGACCAGCCATGCAATGACAACCAACATCTGAAAGACTATCCACTGCATCACACTCATTCCATTCGGGCTACTGTACACTGTTACTTGCATTTTTCTATTCTTGTGTTAAACCTACCTTAGGATATATATTTGTTTAAAGGCCAAAAGATCTCATACTATAATCCTGCTGTTTAGACAAAGTGGGGCACCATGCGCGTAAAACAGGTCAGTCTATTTTTTTTATTTAATAATGCTTTTTCCACAGTCATATAAACGTATTTGCTAAACAAACAGCCAGACAATAGAATTCACGATAGCAATATTGTAATCAATCCATCTTCCAAACATCCCAGGCAGAATAGGACACAAGGCGAGAGGTTTCTCAGGGTGGGGGGTCAGTCAATCACAAGCCAGACACTCACACATGCTGTGTATCAATTTACATAGATTTACCAATTTACATGTTTTAGGATTGTGAGAGGGACCCATACAACTCAGGCAGTATATACTGGACAGATATACAAACATACACACACATGCACAGCAGGGACAGAATTTCAACTAAATAAATAATAATAATAATAATGACAACAACAATAATAATCAATAAAAAAATGTTCATTTTTTCTGTTTTAATAAAACATGTAAACTACATTTTACGTAGGCCTATATTTTAACTAAATTACCTAATACTGCATCTACAACAACAGACAATAACCTATCCTTCCATTTACCAGAATCTGACTACCCAGGAAGAACACACAAAGCAGTTAAAATCAGTGACGGTGATTTCCTGGAAATCGTGCAATCGGCATAGTGTAAGTATGTGGCTGTATGTCGGCGTGCAGAGCCAGCGTCACTCGAGTGTGATCTCATATTAAGCGTGTCACGACAAACTGCGACCAAGCGCACCACGGTTATTTAAAGGACAATTAAAGTCCATGTTTAACTTTTAAAACCAAAATATTCATCGTGTTTTTGCAGATCTGTCAGCACGACATCCACAGGTTATACTTTCAAGCTTAGCCTGGGTCTGTTAAATTAAAATCCGGTTCTCCACATCGACTTCGAGAATCTTCCTAAATCCTTTAAGTCGTTTTTTTCCCCCCACACAGCGTTCGGCTTTTCTGTAAACATAAACCTAAGTATCCTCCCCCATAACATGCAGCAGGTTGATATCTGCGCTTCGAAGGGAAGTGCGCGGCCCTTAGCTCCGCCCTCTCGTTCACTCGGCCAATGGGGGCAGGTTTTCTGAGCAGGTGCGCATTTCAGTGTACAGTCAATGTGACGGTTTCTTTTATTTGGTACTTTATAACTGAATATTTGAATATCCAAATACTGGATGCTTGAGTACCATTGTAGTGCATATTATTAATTACAGGAAAGAAATGACAGCGCATTTTCCCTTCAAGTGATTTCTGTGCACTTTCGTTTTTTTGACATCAGAGGGCGACACGTTCCTCTCTCATCGTATTTACTAAGCCAATGAAGTCTGTTTAGCGGATGAAAAACGACGCGTGTTTCACTCACATATGCAACAAATTAAAATGGCATTCAAAGGCAAAGTGGCCGACACAAAGGTAAGGGGAATTAAAATTCAAATCAGGCGGTCTGTAAAATTGGGGAGGGGGGGGGCGCGGAATCGAGAGGTGGGGTAATGTCTGTTATTATGCTCTTACACACAAATAACGGTATTACGCTTTACTGCGCGGCACAATCGACCATTACAATCCAACAACTGTAATTTTCTGTAATCAAAAATACACGGCAATAAAGAATATGGTATTAGTGCTTTTTTCGAGAGGTACTGATTACGGCAACTACGGAAACATAAAATTTGTGTTATCATTTATGGAAATTATATAATATGAAAAATATTGTTGTGGTGTGGTTATGAAACAATTTAAACTATAATACATTGTAATGCAGAGGACTGCGGTGTTACCCAGTTCTGATAACAAAACGCCTTTATTCCTAGACCGTCGTTCTCCATTTGATTCTTTGCCTGGTCATATTCTACACGCTGTACTACATGATTGGCAGCATTTGTTTTGGTGCTTTCAGGTAAGTAATGCCGGAACCCCATAGATGGGAGAGTAATTTCAGTTTCACTAAGGTTCCTAAAGAAATACCCTTACACGACAATATATTAAGATCGGGATTAGATAGATACATACATATGTAGGTTAACAGCGTGTTGATTTGCATTTGCTGTTTATTTTTATTCGTACCTTTTGTTTATATTTCATGTTTTTTGTTTATATATTTAATCTTGACTTTGCAGGCTTGAGAATTTTGATGGACTCATACCTTTTGATTTCAAGGTTAATCCAACTGAGTCAAACTCCAGATATTTAGGTAAGATCCTGCCCTGGCGGGGATGTGTGACCGGGGCGGACGGCTGGTTTCCTGCGCACGTGCGTGAACGGCGTGCGTCTGTGTGCCTTAGTGAACCTGCTGTCCATGGAGCTCACCTTCCTCAGCAGCGGTCTGCTCTTTGCGGCTGTGGTGAGAAGATGGGTGTGGGACTATGCCCTGACGGTCACGCTCCTCCACGTGCTCCTCACCTCTGTAGGTGAGAATATCTGAGCCTGCATGCTGCCTGTACAGCTTTATCCAGGTGGGGGAGATGTTCTTTCAGGTCCTACGCTGCCTATCATTAGCTGTCTGACTCGGGTGATCAAATGGTGCTCAGAGAGTTGGTACCAGTAGCAACCAGAAGTGGAAAGTTCTGGTCAAGACCAAGATTTTATATTAACCAACCAGCTGAGGACTCTGTGACTGTGACTCTTTATATTAAACTGGCTGCTTGAAACAAAACCTTGGTCTAGACTGGACTTTCCCCCTCTGGCAGCAACATTCTCTTGATTAAGATCAGACAGAAAATGTACCTTTCTGGTGTTGTCCATTAGCAAAGAGTTTATTTTTCCAGAAACTTGTAAATCTAGTGGAGTAGTGTTTCCTGTTCTGGACCTTAAGGACCTCCCAGATTTAAGAAATGGGAGGGATCAAAAATGCAGACTGTCTGGGAAGGAGCAAAAATGTGTACTTTGGTGAAGACATACACAGACTCCTATGTCTGTACGTATGAGCGACAACAAATTGGCAGTGGTGGGATTTGAACCCACGCCTCCAAAGAGACTGGAGCCTAAATCCAGCGCCTTAGACCGCTCGGCCACACTACCCATGATAGTCTCTTCCCAGCATCCAGCTGATGGTTCTTTTATTTAGTAAGGTATTGCTGAAAATGATCTCTGTCCCAACAT